GCCCCTGCCACATTTCACAGATGGTGGTGCATGCCTGTAATCTCAGCACTGAGGCAGGAAGAGTGTAAGTTCCAGTTTTGGGCAACTCAGTGAGAGCTGTCCACAAAAAAAAAAAAAAAAAAAAAAAGGCATGGGGATGTAGCTCAGTGGCAGAGTTACCATGGGTTCAGTACTCAGTGCAACAAAACAAAACAAAACAAAACAGAACAAAACAAACCATGCGCGCACATGTGCGTGCGCACACACACACCCACACACCCACACCCACACACACACCCAGACACCCCCCCATGCCAAGTCTAACCCCAGGAAACTTTTGGCTGGGAGTATAGCGCAGAGGTAGCGTCCTTGTCTAGTGCGTGTAGGGCCCCGGGTTCAATCCCCAGCACTACAGAAACATCAGAAAAAACCTCATCTTTTCCCATTATAACATAATACACACTTTCATTCCTTTTCTTTCCTTCCTTCCTTCTTTTCTTTTCAGTACCTTTATACTTAGCTACATCCCTAGCTCCTTTTCAACATTTTTTAAAAAATGTATTTATTTATTTCTATATTTTAGGGAAGGGTCTACAGGGTGTTCAGAGTCTCACTACTAGATGGGATTTGTAGATTCTCCTGTTTACAGCCTCCCAAGCGCTGGGATTATAGATGTGCTCCACCATGCCCAGTCTCAACACCACATCCAATCTCAGTCATCTCATTATGCCCCAGGGGCGGAGCATGGCACGGCAGGCCCTGGGATTGAACCCCTGGCCCCTACACCTGCTTTTGTAGGTGCTTTAATCTGCTGAGCTATTTGGCTGGCCCTTAAAATGTATTTGGTACAGTCTACAGAGTCTCACTACATAGATTGGACTTGTAGTGGTCCTCCTGTTGTTAGCTTCCCAGGCGCTGGGATTACAGGTGTCGCCACCACGCCCAGTCTCAACACCACATCCAGTCTCAGTCATCTCAGCGCAACCCAGGGTCAGGGCCGGCAGGGCACACCAGGATTGAACCTGGCTGCTGCACTCTGCCTAAGCAGCTGCTTTAGTTTGCAGAGCTATCTGGCTGGGCAAACATTTTTTATTTTAGCTTTTTTTTTTTTTTTTTTTTTTCATACTGGGAATGGAACTTAGGACCTTTCCTTTGCTAGGCAGGCACTTATACCACTAAGCTATCTCCCTGGCCCTTGACATTTTTATTTAAAATTATTTTTATTTTTTTCCCATAATTTTATTGATAAACAAATAGCAATGAGACAGTTTCAAATCAAACTGGTAGGACAGTTTCAATAATTAACACATTGCATACATTCTTCCTAGTGGTTAATTGCTGTACAAGATGCGGACATGATATCCTATTTACAAACACCATTAGAACAAATCCCTCTATTCATTAAGAGAATGTAACTGTATATCAATTCTAGCCATTTGAATACACAGATACAAAATGGACAATCATCTGTATCCCCTTTTTGTTGTTAAGTTCCATTATTTGAATATTATAGGTGTGTAAACTCAGCAAAATATTCTAAAAGAGTCCAGTAGCCCATAATAGCATTGGGTCTTCCACTTGACTGGCAATGTCAGAAATTGTTGACCTGAGTCCCCTACAGCTCAACATAACAGCATGGCTTTACTTCTTATATTTTGTTTTTATACTTTTCTGCTGGATGGTTAAGACCAAGGTAAAGAAGGACCTATGCAACAAGAGTTGTAGCTTTTGGGTTTATTTAAAATTAAAAAAAAAAAAATTCACTGAGTTGTTCAGGCTGAGCTCGAGTTGGCAGTGCTCCTACTTCAGCCTCCCAAAGTGCTGGGATTCAAGGTGTGTGTCACCAAATTTGACCATTTTAGTTGTTTCATTGCCTCGTTTTTATTTTTCTTCTACCAGGAGAGGTGTGGCGAGGGTGGGTGGAACGGGGAATAGAGTGACAGGGACCGGGGGCCATCGAGTAGCCAGGTTGGCCTCCTGTCTTCTGGCCTCCCACTGCCTCCGCTCTGAGGGCACGAAGATAGTTCTGGCACAGCCTGGGTCTCACTTCTGGAATGGGGGTTCTGTTTCTAGCTTCCAGTGGCGCCAGCCTTCTCTCGATGTGGATGTGGGGGACCCCAACCCCGATGTGGTCAGCTTCCGCTCCACCTGGACCAAGTATATTCAGGAGAACAAGCAGAAATGGAAGGAACGGGCTGCCAGTGGTGTGTGCCATTGGGGGGGCCATGGACCTTGAGGGGTGGCTACTCAAACAGTAGTGGGTTCCTTTTTCTTTTTTGGGTATCGGGAATTGAACTCAGGACCTTGTGCTTGCCAGGCAGATACTGTGCTGCTGAGCTATATCCTCAGCCCCCCCTTTTCTTTTTTTAAGACTTGGGGCAACACTTTCACTCCTAGAGCTGGGAATAGAGCCATTTATTTATTATTGTTTATTTTTTGTTGGAACTGGGGATTGAACTCAGGCCCTTGCACTTGCCAGGGAAGCACTTATTCAACTGAGCCATCTCCCTGGCCCTGTTAACTAAACTTTTTTTTTTTTTTTAAAGCAGAACCAGGAATTGAACTTAGGCTCTTGTGCTTGCCAGGCAAGCGTTTATTCTACTGAGCTACCTCCCTGGCCCTAGAGCCATTTAGATTAAAGTTAGATAATAGGAGAGGCTGAGTTACCTGGGCTGTTCCAAGAAGGGACTGGAGAGAGCATAGGGTCTGATGTAGGTTACCCCACAGCCCCTGTAGTCTGTGTATATGGTGCACTTGTAAATTTGGGTAACTTGGTATTCTGGCTGTTGCTTGGGGTGGGGGTTGTGAGTTCTTGCAGGGTCAGAGGCTCTTCCAGCAGTGGAGCTCAGCCTGGATGAAGGGCAATAGATGAGAATGCTCTACTGCTCTTTACATACTCCTTGGTTCTGGGGGAGACACTCCTTGGTCTGGTCTCAGTGTCCTTTGTATCCTCCTGCAGGCATCACCAACCAGATGTCCATCGATGAGCTGTCCCCCTGTGAAGAGGAGGCCCCACCCTCCCCTGCGGAAGATGAACACAACCAGAATGGGAATCTGGACTAGCCCAAGGCTGGCCCAGGTGAGCAGGGAATGGGCAGGAAGGAGTGTGGGGTCAGCATGGCCATCTCTGGGCTGCAGGTGTGAGGGTCTCTCCCGCCTTCTATCCAGGCAGTGAAGTGAAGGACGTGAAGGCAAAGAACTGAGCTGGGGTTGGGGGGGCGGAGCAGGGAAACCCTTTTCCCTCTTGGCCCTCCAGACCCCGAAAGAAAGGATGGCAGCAGGCAACATGGCACCATACAAGGCCTTGTGAGGGTGGGAATAGTGCACACAGCCAGGGCACAAGGCCTTGGGGGGCCAGGCGAGCATGGCTTCCATCTCAGCCCCACTCACGCCCTTGCCTGGCATGCTTCTTTCTGAAGGGAATTTTTCGCAACTATACATAGCGATGAGCAGGGACCTGACTGGACTTGGAGAAGGAAGGCCAGGAGGAGGACGACAGCAAAGATCAGAGCTCTGAGCTCCTCCCTCTTTCCCCAGGTCCTCCCTGAGTCTGAGGTATTCAACGTCATTAGCACCATCCATCGGGACTGGCTCCCCCATCTGCTCCAAGGGAGCATGGAGGTGGAAGAAGAGAACCCACCTGAAGGCCAGAAGCCAGAGATTGTGGGGTTGGGGGAGGGCCCCTCCCTACTGACATCCATTGGGGTGCACTTTAATTTCCTGGTAGCAAGACTGGGAAACTTCAGGCGCCCAATGGTCACTGTGCCCGTCCCCCTGCCCATGGACACCCTCCTGGCCTGATGGCTGCCTGGGAGCAGGGAGCTTCCTGAGGCAAGGGGGAGGGTCAGAGATGCCAGCCCCCTGGGCCCTCCCCCATCCTTTTTGCCTCCAAGTTTCTAAGCAATACATTTTGGGGGTCCCCTCAGCCCCCCACCCCAGATCTTAGCTGGCAGGTCTGGGTTCCCTTTCTCCTCCCTTGGGAAGGGCTGGAATTGGGTAGAAAGCTGGGGTTTTTAAAGCCCTACATGTGGGGAGGGGAGGGGGTTCCTTCAGGGCATGGTTCCTTTCTAGAATGGGGTGGGGGTGGGCATCCCCATTACCCCAGACTTGCACTGCTTCGGCCCCACCCCAGCCTGACTCCCTGCCATCTTCTCTCTTTCCTGTGCTGAAATGGTGACTGGGGGAAGAGAAGAGCCATTGGGACCAGGTCTGAGGGGGGCCTTTCCTGGAGAACTGGGCCTAGTCTGGCCCCTGGGGCTTGTCACCTGCCCTGGCTGTCTCAGCCCATTACCCCTTCTCCCCTGGAGCTAGGTGGGGCTCCCATCCGACCAATGTCTGTAAAGTGCTTTGAGGTCTCCCTAGCAAAGCACCTTCAGGATGCATTTTATGAGCACAGGCAGGAGAGTCCAACAAGGTCGGGGTCTCTCTGTATGGAGAGGGTAAAGTACAATCCCACAATCCTGTGTTGCTAACAGAGAGGGTCTTTTCCTGTCCCGCTTGCCTCCTAGAACTGGCTCAGTTATAGGTACAAGAGACTGCCCCCTGGGACAGTGGTGGGTAGAAGGCAGGTGGGGGAGGGGTGCAGGGCTGTTGTTGTGACCTCTGGAGTGAGCCGAGCCAGGCCTGGTGCCCCTTCCTCTCCTCAGGCTCCTCCTTGCCTCCACCTTGCCCCTGAAAGGCCACAGTCCAGATGACTGCCTCCTCCGCTCTTGTAAATACCAACCATGCATCTGTACAGTGGGCCCTGTTCTTGTGAAGTTCATGCCCATGGTCTCTTAGCCCTGCCACCTGAAACTTGTTCACCTACCCCACCCCAGTGGGGCAGAGACGCATGTGACTCACCCCTGCCCTTGGTCTCTCAGGCCCCTGCTATAGCCAGAGATCAATAAAGAAGGGAGACTGGGCTGGCTGTGTCTGGTGTTCACTGTGGGGAGTGGACGGGAGGATCTTCCTGTACGCCGTCTTCCCAAAGCTGGGTAAAATCCTACTGAGGCTCATCCTGTGTGCAAGCTCAGGCCTCAAAAGCAGGCCTTGCCTGAGGGCACACAGTAGGTGCCAGGCAGGAGTAGGTAGATGAAATTTGCCTCTTTTCTGCATCTCCTCTACCTGGGAAAAATGAAAGAATCAGGAGCACCCTGGCTGTGGGACCAGCGGATGTTATCATCTATGCGTGGTTTTGTCTTATCCTGAACTTTCCATTCCTGGAATTGGGGTGGGGGAGAGGGAGAAAGACGATCCTTCCAATTCCCAGAAAGGGCCTCTAATCAGCCACTGTGCTCTCTATGTATTTTTGCGGACGGACTGGAAAAAGGGAAGGTGGTCTCAAACTGGAGGAGGGATCCCTGTGACAGACACTCCTCACGCCCTTCACCATGGCCAATGGCCAGAATGCACTTTCCTCTTTTGTCCAGCAGGTGGCGCCCATAGCCTCACAGCTGCAAGGTACAGGCTTTAAGGTTCCTAGTCTTACAGCTCGCTATAAGGCAGCCCTGCCAGATGGCTGGATCTTTCTTTCCTCAGTAAAAAGCAAGAACCTGGGGCCATCCTTCCTTCTTGGCACCACGAAGGCCGGTACCCTCACCGGTCTGGCCTCAGTCTGACTTCCTGCAGTAAATAAAGGCAAGGTCAGGGGAGACCCCTTTTGCAGCTTCTGCCTAGCAACCCTATTTCCTCTTTCTCAGAGGCAGTTGGGCAAGAGGATTTCAGACAAGGGGAGGCAAAAGGGATTCTTCAAGTCTGGAAAGAAGGAAAATTCCAAGGACCTAACACCAAATTTATCACTTTTTAAAAACGAGATATTCCCCAAAAGTGAAGAAGTAAGAAACAGATCCAGCGTCCATGCGTCCCCAAACTGCAGTTGTGATGCCAGGATGCCACCTCCTCTCAGGCCTGTCATGGAAGAGAACAGAAAGGGAAGGTGACTGAGTGATCCGAGGTTCATTCCTGGCCCGCTGGCTGCCCAGCCAGCCACTTCCTCAGGAGGCTGGTTCTGGTGTCTGGTCAGTCCCCACCCCTTGCCAGCCTATTCTGAGGCGTGAAAATTGTAAAATCAGAGCTCAGAATCAGCTCTTCCATCCTCCATTTCCAATCAGGGCTACTGCCTACCTAGCCTGGGTAGGCCAGCTCCCTCTGAGTTCCAAATATCCTTTACCAAACAAAGCCATGGCCTGCTTCTATCCCCTGTTCAGGAGCCAGCAGGCCTATATGAAGTCTAACTTCAATCCTTCCTGCTGCAGCTTAGTTCCATTTTTCTTGGTTTGCATGTCAGGGACATATGACCTCTTACCATAAGAACATTTCAGTGACAGAAGCTGGTCCTTTGCTCTCTTTGATTCTAAATATCAGCCCCGTGTCCTTACCTACACAGTGCTCTTCTGCACCCCTGGGGGCCCCGCCCTGGGGTCTTACCGAGTTGGCTCCCTGGGAGTCCAGGGGTGGTATATGGGTTGAGGGTTCCATTGTGCTGGGCTCCTCACTGCTCCTCTCCTGAGTTTTAGGGGTGGATCCTGTAGATTCTGGGGAGGGAAGATGGGGGCAGCAGGGAGAGGGCATTTATGAAGGCCTCAGAGAAGGGACTGCTGCTGCTTATTGCACCTACACCCAGGGACGCCTGAGAGAGACCCATGTGGGAGCAAAGTGCCAGGAACAACGGGGTTTTCTCTGATCCCAGTTACTACGAGAAACTTGCTATTTTTTTTTTTTCAGTCCTGTTTGAAACTAGCCCACATGCTATGTATCAGACAGTGAGGCTGTGAGGCCAGCTTCCATATTCCTTTTTGGTCTTTATAACCACCAAGACTAGCATTCAGCTCCAGGGGGAAAGGGAACTGGAGGGTCCAAGGTTGTTGTGAATGCACGACAATCCTCCTGACTTGGCATCCCAAGTGCTGGGGTTACAGGTGTGAGCTATCATACCTGGATTTTTGTCTGTACTCAGAGACTGAAAAAAGCTTCTAAAAACATGAAAAAAAAATTGGGGTACACTGTGTGGCTATACCTGACCTGAACTGATATGAAGCTATTTTTGGTCTTTATCCTACTCACATCGATGGGATTGTAGAACTATTGATGTATTTGATTATCGGGTGCTCTGATAGATATAGGGTATATAGTATACCACTTTCATAAAATTAGACAAATTTTGAATTCAGGGCTTGTGGACATGAATTAAAATCACCATCATGACCAGATGGATTAAGTCCAAGTCCTTTCAACTAAGTGGCAAATGGCAGAGACAGGAACCTAGCTGGGAATGCTTTCCCTTGATGCTGGCCTCTCCCACACAGCTGCAGGAGGGATCTCGGGGTCCCAGCTGGATGGCTCTCTGCCTTCCAGTAAGAGGAGGGGAGGTTCAGATATGTTCAGGTCTGTCCTTATCAGTGAGCTGGCTTTTGGCTACTCTCCCAAGCCCAACTCTACCTCCTTCCGCAGAGGGTGTCTTGCCTCTGACTGGGCTTGGGGATACAGTGTCTGGGGCCCTCTGTAGCCTGTACATACTCTGTGCTGTCCCTCGGGTGCCCGGCCTTGACTCCGCTCCTGTGTCTGAGATCCCAGGTGCGCAGGACTCCTGGGTCCCTGTGCTCTCAGCGGCTCCCTCGGGCTCCTCTCCTTGCTTCTGTTGCCCCAGGTGATGCTCAACCATTGTCTGGAGTTCTAGGGACATGGAGAAAGGGAGGGAAGCCTGGACATGACTGCCCAGCACCTGTCTACCAACAACAGCCCACGCATGGGTTGGCACACCCCGCTGGGTGTGGGACTTTCCCATCTCCCTGAGATATGAACAGGGAGCGGACATTAGCTGGGTAATAAGGAGGGACAAGAGCCAGACTGTAAAAAGTTCTTTCAAAGGTCAGGAAGCTGTAGGGGAAGAACTTTGAAGAGTACTGTACAAGATATTCCTGACTTGCTGGGATATGTGTTCTCCCCTGGGGACAGGAAAAAAAGATTCCATTTAGATTCAGGGACTATTTGAGTACCTTCTGGGGCTGTGCTGTTTGCTGATGAGTTCACATATATTATTTATCTGCCCTGATTAGGTGGATTCAAGGTTGGGTGGGGTAGGCAGTGCCTGCAAAGCCTATGGCTATTTGGTGGCAGATCTGGGGTTCTAGCCCTGTCATCTGGCAACAGCTGCACTCTGAGAGAGAGGGTTTCAGGGACCCCCCTCCCCCCCAAGTGACCTTTCCAGAGGGGAATCAGGTCTACTCAGCTTCGGGCCCACAGAGGAAAAGGGAATGGGAAAGGTCTGCCCAACCTTTCATTGTGGGTGTGGTCCTTGTCATCTTCTTCCGTTGCCGTGGAGACATGGACAGAGTGGACTGTGGAGGACACAGAGGACAGATGAGTGTCAGTCATTCTGCTCTCCTGTGCCTTGCCACATGCTTTTGGTTTGGAGTATGGCGCTTCAGAAAGATGGGGAAACAAAGTTCTTGCCTTCTAGACACTTTCACTGTGGTGGCACACAGTGTGTTTGTGTGTGTGTGTGTGTGTGTGTGTGTGTGTGTGTGTGTGTGTACAGCTCCACTCATGTGCCTATTGGGCGCTGTGCAGAGAAGAGGGAGTCAAAAAGTCCTACAGGTTGGACTAGGTTGTTTTGTGCACGGCAGGCACAGGCTGGGAGTGCAGCTTACCTTGAGAAGTGGATTGGGAATCCGGTCTTCATCCACTTCTGAGGGGAACAGGGAAAGGAGAAGGTGGTAAGGACGGGAAATCCAGGGTCCCAGAGAGCGGACTTCCTAAGCGGAGGGCGCTGTGTGTTGCCTGTCTCCCGATCTCCGGAAGGTGGTCCTCGGGCTGCCTTGCTTCCTCGCTCCTGCTCCTCCTACTCTGCTGGCCTTTTGTCCTCTGCCTGCTGTCCTGTACTTGACTCTGGCCCATCTGTACCTATATTCTTGCCTCTTTTCTTGATGTCTCTCAGGCAGAAGTTGGAGTCTCTCTGCTTTGTTTCTCCCTCTGAAGTATTCATTTCTTTTTTTCCTTCCACCCATTTCCCCATCCTAAGGCCAGAACTGAGGCCTGCAGAGGAAAGCTCACACATACAACTGTGTGGACATGGTCACTTGCTGCAGGTGGAGGGAAGTGGTAGGTCCACCCTGATCTCCAGTCTAGCTCATTAACCTGACCACCTTTCCTCCACATCCGTGTCAAGCTCCCTTGACATTCTCTGAGACCTTGTTCTTTTCCCAGACCTTGATTGGGATACTGGTGACCAGAACCCCAGCTGCTCCCTGAGCTGTTTCTAACCTTCCTTTCCCTCTGGGGGCCGGGAAGATAGCTGATGGAGGCGCTCCCTCCCCCTCACAGCTGTCACTGCCTCTGGGGGTGGGGGCAGCAGGATCTCAGTTGCTGGAGAAACCTGGAAGGCTGTTGCCTGAGCAACCAGCACTCAGTTGACCATCCTGATTCCTGGGGGTGGGGGGCTTAGGGACCAGGTGGTCCCCCACCTCTTCTTAGCACTGTTCCATTTTTCCAAAAGCAAAAAGAGTTTCTGCTAACCCAGGGGGCTACCATTTGCCTGTTTTCAGGACTGAGGAGATTCCTGACTCCTTTGATCTGCCTGGCTTCTGCCTAGCCCCCCTCTGCTCTCCCAGAGCCTTGCTGTCTGCAGGGGCTCCCACTTTCTTCAGTGACCCATCCTTTGGTTACCTGGAGATGACTGGTCACTGGTAAGCACAAGGGTGGCTGGTGTAGGGCGTCGTCTCCGAATCTGGGTTGGGGTCCGAGAGGAAGAAAAAGTCAGAAACCTGTGCAAGTATCTACCAAAGCCTCAGCCAGGGCCCCTTGATTATACAGGGCAGGCAGCCCACTTAATATACTTCAAAATATGCCAGGTTACACTGGACCTGCTATCCCAGGGTGGATGCCTGCAGGCTCATCTGCCCCTTTGAGAGCTACTCCTGCCAACTCCAGAGACCACTTCCTCTCCCTGCATGCCCCCTTCCTGCCCCAGCTCTTCCTCTCAGTGGCTTTATCTGCTCGACTGCATCGATCTCTGGCCTGCTGTCTTTCTGTCCATCCTGGATCAATGGTCATAAATAAGCTGAGAGGGTACAGGGCTTTCCCTTGGCCATCCAAGCCACCCACTTGAGTGGACATTAACCCTTGGGGTCAGCACCTGCAGGACATCTCTCAAGCCCATCCAAGGGGTGGTGGAGCAGCTCAGGGAGGGAACGTCTGAATGTGCCTATGCTTCCTAAAGTCTTCTTGGTTTTTGGTCACAGTGGGTTTCTAATTTGGGAAATCTTTGTCATGGCAAATATAATACAGGAAGAGCCTTACATAGGAAGCTGGCCATGGCCTAAAGGTTAGCTGAAAAATTCTTGAGGTTAACTTGTAGTTGAGGAACTGCAGAGGCTTTCACTTCTGTCCCTGATTTTTTTTTTTTTTTTTTTTTTTTTTTGTACCAGGAATCAAACTCAGGACCTGGCACTTGCTCGGCAGGCACTGCGTCATGGAGCTATATCCCTGGCTCTTGCCTCCCCCATTCTTTTGTTCTGTTGCTGATAAAGTTGATTGTTGTTGAAGTCAGTCTGAGGGCTTCTGGGATATGTGGTTCTTTCCTCTCTCTCGACCCCTTGGGGTGGAAGAATGTGGAACAATTTGGGGGTTGGTGGCCCTGTAGCTCCCTCCAAGGCAGCAGGGGGTAGGAAAGGCTAATGGGGCCCGAAGGAGCAAAAGTTACTCAGGGCCTAGAGGAAAGGAGTGTGGTGGAGGTGCTGAATTATCAAATCTATCTTTGTGTAGCCTTTGTTTGGCATCATCATTGCTAACACTGGAGCTTGGGAAATGGAAAAAAACCACTGCCTTCTCTATGCCTAGAAAGTGGGTACTGGCTGTAGTAAGAAGGGCTGTTAAGCCAGAGAGGTGCTCTCCTCAAAGAAAAAATAGTGTGGAAAAGCCAGAATGGAGGTATCTGAGGGTAGGGCACTGCTCCAGGAGAATCCAATGACATCTGTTTTGAGTGACATTTCAAGGTCCCCACCAGCGTCCACCTTGTGTCCACATACACACATGCACTGCACACATATTAACTGTGAGTTGTGTGGCTATCCCCGGTGCACTTAGGCAGAGGAAGGCGGCACGGCACTTGTGCTTCATGCATGGGAAGGTGGGGCACCTCTTTAGGAGAGGACGCCTCAATCTCTCCTGCTCGGGTGGGGAGTGGTGCCTTACAACAGTGGAAGAGATACGGAGGGATAACGTCTGAACTGGGATCCCAAGGCAACTTCCAGTACGACAAAAATGAAGAGAGCAGTAGTGCTCTGTTATCTTACATAGGTCTCTTACTTAATCTGGTTCTTTGCCTTGGACAAGATTTGGAAGCACTCAGAGTCCTTGAGAAATGTGATACACTACAGCAGGAGGGAGGGAAGTCAGACTGGCCGAGACGCCCAGGCACCTGGATGAGTAGTGGAGTCTCTACCTTTTTCACATCTATCCTAAATTCTAGCTCTCAAGGACACATTGTGTCTTCTTATTTCTACGTCAGCCATGCCAAGGGTCTGGTGGTTATGGGCATCCCTCTACCCGTGCAGCTCTGTGCTCCATAAATGCAGGGCTTCAAGTCCTTTCACTGTCCCCTGTGAATCTGGTTAGGAGCTCCTGCCAAGCCTGGAGCTTTTTGCCTAAATACTTGGTAACACAGCAGGAAGGGCTGAGGTTAGGCTGCAGGTAGAATTTCAGGCAGCAAAGACACAGATTTCTGCAGATTAGAGAAAAGCAGGCCTAAGTTTCTTTTTTGCTCCTGGCTCCTTAGCATCCACCCCCACCCCTTCAGGCTCCTGGAGCAGCTGCCCGGCACCCACCTCCTCCCAAGACCCAGCACACCTGCCTCCTGCAACACCAAACAGAAGCAGGTGTCTGGCCCAGTCTGTGCCAGCAGGCAGCAGCTCTCCTTGGAGCCGTCCCCACAGCCTGCACCCATGGGCCCTTTTTCCAGAATCATAAGTTATCTTTACCTGTCCCTTGTCTCTGGGCATAGAAGCCTTTTCCCTGACCCCAAGAACACTCCCATGAGAGGGGCTGTTCATGCTCCTTATACTCTGTGATATGTGTGAGGTCCCACTACAATCCCTCCTGCAGCCACACCTTAGGGGTCCAGCAGTGGTGCTCACCCCAGGCCAGGGACAGGAGGGACATGAACATGTTCCCTGACCTCTGCCTGGGGAAGCTAAAGTTACAGAGAGAGCACCTGCCCTTTTCCTTCACATCCATACCTTATTCTACCAAACAGCTGGAGTAGCAACAAAATCTCCTGCCCATCCCAAGGGGTCCCCAGGCTCTCCAGTAGTGGAAGCCCAGCCAGAGCCTGGGGGCTGACGTGTGTGTGTGTGTGTGTGTGTGTGTGTGTGTGTGTGTGTGTACACCCAGAGCTGACCTTATGGGAACTGGATCCTGGGTAGGAATGAGAAGGTCTAGGAGAATAGACAGAGAATACAGAGAATACAAAAAGAGATGGAGCAGTGGGCAAATATGCAAATGTTTGGCAAACAGGCAGTAGGTAGTAACCCTCTCCACACACGCTCACTCTCACTGAGACACACATAGCTCACACACTCTCACACATTGCTGCCTCTGCCAGGCTGCTGGGAGCTAAAAATAGGCCAGGCCAGGAGGCTGGGCCAGGGCCCTGGACTCCCACCCTTGAGCCAAGGCCCTCACATTGCCTGGCAGAGCTCTCAGCTTGGACCCCAGTCCCTGGACAGTGCCCCCCCCATGTCATTCCCTCCATCCCGTGTCCATTCCCCACTCCAAAGGGCAGGAGTTGGGAATAGGGATCCACGTGTTTAGACTTGCAGAGGAAGGGAGCCTCAGTTCTGCAGACCCCACCGCCCCTCTCCCCAAGCCCCAGGCTTCTCGGTTGGCCTCTGTCCCTTCTGGTTACCACCCAGCGGAGCCAGGCAAGGTGCGCCCTCAGGTGGGAGGGGACATGAGGGCTGGTTCTGCTCTTCCAACTCCCACAGCACCAGGCTTCCCCCATCACCGACCCCCAGCACCAGCACCCGGCTCAGAACTCCAGCGGAGGCTGGGTGGAGCAGGAGCGCTTGCAGACGGGGGAGGGGTCGTGTCCTCAGGCAGGCAGCGCCCTCCCCTCGGGCGGGGGGCACATAGAGCGACCCTCTCAGGGGACAGACATGGCTCGGACACGCTCGTCCTTTGGTCTCTCGCAAAAAAGCAGATGGGGAGATGAGCTCCGACGGTGGGGGAGGGGACAGAAGACCACCCCCAACAGCTGAGCACGTACGTCCTCAAAAGGGTGCCCCGCCGAGGAAGGAGAGGGCGGGGACCCCGGGTCCCCCAGCCCAGGCAGGGGTCGCTGGTCCCGGCTGGGCGAGTCCCCTGCGCCCCGCCCTGCTCCGCACCTGCTCGGCGGCCTCGGGGTCAAGGTGCGGCTCCAGCAGCGGCACGGTGAACTGGATCTTGCGGGGGCTGTTGTCCTGCTCCATGGCTGGGGCTCCGCGCTGCGGAGCGCAGGCGGCGAGCCTGGGGGCTGGGGCGGGCGCGCTCCCTCTCCCTCCGCTCCGGCCCGGCCCCAGCCCGGCGCGCGCGGCTAGCTGGTCGCGGCTCCCGGCTCGGCGCTCCCAGCTCGCGGCTCCCGGGACTCTGCGGCCGCCGATTGGCTCCGCGCCGCCCCTCCCGGTCCCCTCCCCTCCCCCGCCCGGAACCTTAACCCCGTCGTGGCTGCTCGGGGCTGCGGGGGTCAACGCCCCTCGGGCGGGCCAGCCGGAGGTGGCTGGGTCGCGATCCCAGTCTACCGGCCCGGATCGATGTCCAGGTATCCTTGGAGTTTTGGGCAGGGAATGAGGTAGGGCGGTTACCGAGGATTTCTTTAAGCTGGTGCAGGGACTAGGGGCTGGGAAAGTGGAGGGTCGCTGCGGAAGATCAGGTAGCAGACGCGAGAGGAGAATTCCTTGTACGACCGAATGGGGGTGGCCAAATAGAGGACAGATGGAAAGGAAATTTAGGCATGCAGCAGGAGAGATTGTGGTCAGACTCGCAGAGGGACTTTCCCTTGAAAGAAAAACCCTGTAGCAGAGGAGAAAGTGGGAGGGTAGGTGCGAGGCCTGAACACCAGTCCAGGGTTCGCTAGTGGGCAGGGAAAGGGAGACGTGGTCTCAGGGTCTCTGGAGGGAAATCGCTCTTCCAGTACCAGGGAGTGGGTGGAGGGCCTGGGGAGAAGGGACCATCTGGGGCTCGGCAGAAGGAATAATGGGGGTGGGGAGCCAGAGACGCTTGTGAAATAGATTCACTTTCAGCTTGCTAAATTTATGGGGATTGTCAAGTAGGCGAAAGGCTTTCAGGGGGAGAGGCTGGGGGCTGGAGAGGGAAGCTCCCTTGGAGGGGTGGTGGCTTGTTTACACTTGGGGCCGGTTTTCGGTTTCACTGTTGGTGGAAAAAGGAAAATGATCTCCTGTAACTGCAGGCATGGAAGTTAGACTATGTGAAGAACTTACTGATTTGGTGTTGGACCAAGATGTCAGTCACCATAGGCAATGAGGGTGCTAGGGTATTCATAGGAGCTGGTGTGCTTTGTGCCAGGGGCTGGCTGTCCAGCTCGGAGGGGAGGGAGGCGCTGGGGCCCTGGGGAGGAGCAGGGCTGGTTACAGCTCTGGGGAAGGAGAGGCTGGGAAGAGGAACGGGGAGTGCTGGGAGGTCTGGCTCGGTACAGGTTTCCTCCTAGCTCTCTGGACCCTCATGAGCATCCTGTCTCTCTCCCAGGGGCTTGGCTTCAAGTCTCAGTTGCCCACTATCCTGGTCTGAACTTCACAGGGTCCCTTCCCCTCTTACCTCCCAAAATAACCTCCCTGCCTTCCTGCCCTACCCAGATCTCTTTACACAGCACAGGCTCTGTTTTCTCAGGGGTGGACTATGGTTAGAGTGATCCAGTGGATACAGAAGTTCAGTCTGGTGAGTGGGTCCCCCATGTATGTTGTCATTGGTGTGTGTTTTCTGGTCATATGGGCTCCATGAAAGCTTCCCTGCACCCAGCCCACATTTGGAGGGCCCCTGAAAGCTGGCTGAGTTTCCCAATCCCCTTGACCCTCTACACAAACAGTGGAAGGAGAGGTTGTGCAGGTGCTGAAGATGGGGATGGAGGCTGAGTCCCCAGAGACTGGGCGCCTGCTCCAGTCCCCTCAGGTTTCCCACAGGAGCACAGGGCAGGATCCAAAGATCTTTTCAATCTCTTCCGTCCCCATTTCTAAGGGGACACATATCCCTATCTCTGGGGCCTCAGGATCCTCTCCCTGTGCCTCAGTCCCATTTCCAAAATGGCCAGAATGTCCCTGCCTCCTGGGTTTGAGTATCCCTAGAGTAGGGTAGCTGGCACTTGTGGATAGCTGTTAGTGTCTTGCTTCCTGCAGGAGAGAGTCACCTCTTGAGGCTCTCAGGAGAAGATCCCCCTACCCCTCCTGGCTTGCCAGCTTGCCCAGGTCTCTTTCGCATTCTCTTCTTTCCATCACACTTTGGTCTGGCCATGCAAGTCCCTCCCAAAGGCTCACACCCACCCTTCATGTTGTCTCTTCAAGTCCTGATTCTCAGATACTTCTGGTTCTGACAACTACATTTAGAAGGACCCAGAGAACCCAGACTTGGAGAGGTGATCACTGAAAGGCTTCCTGGGAAGAGGGTCATGGGAGCAGCCTGTGCTTATGGAGGAGAGGAGGAGAGAACAAGGAGGAGGGAAAAGAGACAGGGAAGAGCTGGCTGGATACTCAGTGGATTAAAGCACCTGCTTAGGCAGATGTAGGGACTGGGGTTTGATCCATGGTGTGCCGTGCTGACTCTGCCCCTGGGGCAAGCTGAGACCTCAATTGAGACTGAGTGTAGTGGCATGCTTCCGTAATCCCAGCGCTTGGGAGGCTGAAAAACAGGAGGATCACTATGAGTCTGATCTGTGCTGTGAGGCCCTGTAGACTTAGAGAGAGACACACACACACACACAGAGAGAGAGAGAGAGAGAGAGAGAGAGAGAGAGAGAGAGAGAGAGAGAGAGAAGAGAGGACCCTAGCTGGCACATGGGTGGAGCAGTTAGGCAACAGGGAAGTGGAGTGTGGCTGAATGTAGGCTTCATTTCAGGTGGGCTGGGTGAGCTTGTCTGTGAAGGTATGTGTATGTCGCTCTGACATTTATTTATTTATTTATTTATTTATTTATTTATTTATTTATTTATTTGAGACAGGGTCTCACTGTGAAGCTCAGGCTGGCCTTGAGCTCACTTTGTAGCCCAGGCTGTCCTCCTTGCAAGGATCCTCCTGCCTCAGCCTCCCAGGGCTGGGATTGCAGGGGTGTGCCACCACACCTGGCTTCTGAGCTTTATTTATGCCCAGTGCTGAGTAAGTAACTGTGAGCGCCTGCTGGGCAAGTGGGTGTAGGCAGGCGTGGGCTGCTCACACGCAGGGCTGGGCCGGGAGGGCAGGATGTCTGCTGTTTGTGCTTGGAAACCAGCTCTCACTTCTACATGAGGTGTGCTCAGCCCCAGCTGGTGCAGCAGCAGCTGCTCGGGGGTTCATGAATATTTAAGGTTACAGAGGGATGTGACTTGGTGATGCAGTCACGGGACAGCTCTGGCTCTGCCCTGCTGGACTCTGGGCTGATGGGACTGCTCTTAGCTGATGGGCACTTTCTGCTCTTACTCTCCATCCTGCTCCCCGCCATCAGCCTCCTTGTGCTTTCATTCATTCGCCCTGCTGACCCAGGAGGGCCTAGGGTAATGGTATATTTACTGCACTGCTCAAGGGCAGGTGCAGAGAGGTGTTGCTGAGAGGGGCCACAGGGAATGGGATTTGGGAGGTCAGGTTCAATACCTCCCCTGCTGCCAACTCCCTGGGTGATTGGGATCACCCCTGTCCTGCATCCCACAATGGGCTGTTTCCATATCTCTGAAATGAAGGGGACCAGGCAATCTGCAGGCTTCTTTCAGTTCTAATATATGAGTTAAGAGTGTACCAGTTGTGTAGCCAGGAAATCTCAGAATCAGGGTTAGAACCCAGAGGGAAGGACCTTACCTCTCTCTGCGTCTCCCCTGGCCTGGCCCCTATCACTGAGGCAAGCTCCTGCATGGTGAATGCATAGTGTTTGCACACTTTTGCACATGCAATTCTTATTAGGTAGGGCTAGAGGCTGCTTTTAAACCCCAAAGGAGCAATGACCCTTTCCAAGTGGTCCCCCAGGAAGCCATATGCTCATTCTAACGTGCTGCTGTTTCGCCACCATTTCTGGAAACTCTTTTGGAATCATCTCAATTCTTGTGGCATATGCTCTGAAAAATCCTCCGAGGGAGTACATCTTTACATTTTGCTTCTTGAAAATCAGTCTTTAGGCACTAAGCCTAGGGAGGAAGGAGAGAGATCGGGTGGAGAGCAGGTCCTGACCTGAAGGAAGGTTAGGTTTGCTGTGGTGGGATTGTGTACCTCAGGGCTCCCAAGCCCGTTTGGAAGGCTTCTCTGCTAGAGAAACTACAGAGCTTTCTGCAAGCCCCAGAAGCACCAGCAGGATAGATGCATGACCTCTTGTGGTAAATTGGAAGGCCAGTGGGCCAGGCTGTGAGAAGGCCTGTTCACCTGGGAGAAAGTGGTCACTGCAGTTCTGCCAGGCTCTCCTATAACCGCCTGCTGCTGGCACTCTGGGGAAGAGGGCCGGAGCTCCTGATTCAAACTGAGGGGATGCTGATTTCTGAAGGGCTTTGCCTCTTCACCAACCCCCAAACTACTGGTTTGAGGCAGAAGAGACTTAGAGATCAGTCAGTTCTCTTGAGGATGAGCCATGCATGTCACTTCTTTCCCCAGAATGCCAGTTTTGGTGGCTACGGCAAGGCAGTGACTGGGCCTGAAGCAGGACATGGACCAGAATACCTCTTGAAGTTCATCTCAGCCATCTGGTCATTAACAACCTAGAAGTTCTAGTCCTTAGGTCGCCTCTAGCTAGCCCCTTCTGTTCCCAACCCTCTAACAGCTTGAATTCACTCGCTCAACAAATATTGGGTGTTCCTACATGCCAGGCTTTATGCTAAGTGCTGGGGATACAGTGGAACACACAACAGATACAGTTTCTATCTACTGACAGCTTTCAGCCTAGTGGGAGCCAGAGGAGGGATGGGGTAGCCAAGCAATTACCAGCCAAGAGTATGACAGAAGTGGAAGTATAGGATGTCGTGGGGTAAGAGGCAGCAGGAAGGAGGAAGGTGACCGGAGGCCTCTCAGACCTGCTGTGCCTCCTCTACCCCAGCTCCTCTCTGCAACCTGGTAGCTCTGTGACCCTGGGCACAGCTGTTTAACTTCTCTGTTGAACCTCACTGAACCTCAATTTCCTCTGCCTTAAAACTCGCTTAACAATAGGCACCATCCCTGTTATATATAGTGAGGAGTGGGATGAGGTAATGCCTCCAAAGTACTGAGCACCAGTTAAACACTTGCAAATGTTGCTTCCTTTGGCTCTTAAAAAAGCAGAGATGAAGCTGGGGATTTCAGTACTTTTAGAGTTTTAGAGGAAGGTGTCTGCAGGGGGCATTCTTGCCTCTGGTCCAAGGGCTTCTGCTCCTCCCTACCCTGGTGGGATCAGCATTCTTGATGTCCAGCTGTGTCCTAGTCACTCTGCCCTGCTAATTAA